GTAACACATTTTATTACCCATGCCACAATCAAAAGAAAAAATGAAATCCAAAGGAGAGAAAAAATATAGTTTCCTACATTTTACAGTACTTTTATATATGTATAATTCTGTTTAGGCTATATGAGTCTACAAGGTTCATAAATACATAAGTAGTAAAAAATATTTAGAGAGGATTTGATTAAGGTTTTAAGGCAAAGATAGTTTAAATGCATAATTTTTTTTTACTTAATGATGAATAAGGTAGGATAAGTGGATACAAATTTTGGCAGGGTAGGAGTCATCTTCAGCTAAGATAGTTTTATTTTTCTAACAGGGTGGTTGGCCTTTAGAATGGGTTGCCTTCAGATGTGATAGATGCAGTGAATTTAAATGAACTTAAGAAAGGATTTAATAAATATTTAAATGATAAGGGCTGGCTTTGTTATTTTTGAAAGTGTAGTTTAGTATAGTGAATAGGATGGCCTAGATGGACTTACAGATCCCTTGTTGTCCTTATATTTTATATTATGTTGCATGTTTCTATAAAAAGTTGTAAGTAAGCATTTTTTTAAACTTCCTTCATTGTCAGATTTTTCTTACTGTCAAAAATTAATATTCAGTTTTCTGTGCATTATAAAAAGTTTTTAAAGAAATTTATAGCCTGAGATTCATTTTCAAGTGTTCAATAAAATAAAATAAAATACAAATAAGAATAAAAATAAATAAATAAAAGAATCACAAAATAACTTCAGAAAATGCAAAATTCAACTATCATAGTATACACATAAAAAACAACAACTAATGTGCTTAATCCATCTTTAGGTTGAGCAATCTGAAATAAGAATGAAATTCATTGTTGTTCATGAATATGAATAATTTTATTATTGTTGTTTATTAATATGAATAATTTTACAAGGTAAAAAGTTCATTACAGTTTTGAAGATTCTCAGAAATTTCTGATTATTAGTTGAGCATTGTTCTCGCTAAAGTTTGTTAACTATAACAATATGTGTTTGTAACATGAGCAATATTTATGAAGATAACACTGATAATTGCATTATTAACCTTGAGTGGTATGCTATATTCAATAGGATATACACAAAACACCAACATTGGCAGCTGCTCTGACCAGTGCTCTCAACCATTAGTTCCCATCAGAAGATACAAAACTTTTGGACCACAACCAATAAAATAAACATGGATATTAGTTATTCCACATACAAAATTGTGTTTTCAATGGGACCATGGTAAGGACATTAGGACGTGGCCAAAAGTTATGCATCTGGCCACATTCAATGGAGCAATGCCTTTTGTGAGTACTGTGCAAAACTGTCAACTGCAAAAAAAAAAGTCCAACAATAGTTCTAAATTCAAAATAATGTACTCACTCAAACTACTCGGTTTTAATAATTCAGCAAGAACGTCATAAAATGGTAAAGGTTTCAGGCAAACATCAGGATGTACTGGATATTTGGTTATATTATATCCACTTTGAATGTTGGGCACATTGTGTTTGGGGGAGGAGTAATCAATGCTTGAGGCAGGGTGAAGGCTACTGCCAGGGATTAATTGATTTCCTGGTATTGAATCTCTGGGTCCTTTTATATGTGATGGTGGGGGATGTGGAACACCATAGAGATGGCCTGGGTCAGTGGAAGTTATCAATGATGTATTTGCTGGAAACCTTTGCCTGTTTGTGGGAAGAGAAAAAAAAAAGGTTTTACACAAGAAACACAATTCAACTGTTTGCTGAGTATTTCTTATCTTTAACCTGAAACACGCAAAAGGTAGATACAACCATATTACAAACTAATAGGTATCTTAGGCCCTTTCATGAGAAAAACAACAACACATGTATGGTGATTCACATGTATAAATGAATTTTCATGTGCAAAACACACGTGTACTAAAGAGATCCATTATGACAGGAAAATAGCAAGAAAACACTTACTCTTTAATGTTACACATACTTGCATTATATTAATAGAATTATTGATTTTATCAAAATTATAAAAAAGAATATTTAAACTATACAACACTACTATCTTCAAAAGGTTCATTTTAATTTTGATTTTCTTCTTTTTCTACAAGATGTTTTATGCTCTCCTTCTATGGTTTTGTATCCAATAATGTCCGATTTCCCATAGCCTTAAAATGTTTTCAATTTCTTTTAATTGCCTTTGGATGCCATCTTCTCTGGTTATTTCATGTACAATTACAATGATTTAAAGATCTCATACTATTCTGCTAACACAATTTTTGTAGGTAATGTTTCTGCTAATCATTGATAGGTTGTTTAGGCAGAGTATTCATAATGAATCTAAGTTTCAAATGGACAGCAACTGCCTGTCATAGAAAACTACAAATGTATAGGATGACGTTTCAAAAGTCTTCCGCCTTTTGTCTTCAGGGCAGTGTGTTTCAACACCATAACTTTACTTAGAAATGATAAAAATGTGAAAATTGATACACATGGTCTTTGTGAACATCCTAATAGGCTGAATTAAAAACTTGGAAATTTTCTGCAATGTTAATGAGCTATGGACATTTAATTAATGCCATTATTAGTGGTAATTAAACTCACAACAAGACAACTGGTAAAGATTTTTGAATTTTAGAAAATTCAAGCTATGGAAGAGTGTAATATCAACAAGTGTGCTAAATTTCATGCTGATATTGGGTTTTAATGGTGAAGATATCATGCTAATAAATTGGTGACCCCAGTGAAAACTTCATTTTGAGAAAATAGCCTTTAAGACAAAAATGAGTTATTTATACAGGAAAGAGGTTAAACTTTCGATTTAGGCTAAATTTGAAATATGTGATTTTTGGGTCAGTGCTACATTAAGACTTATTTTTCTAATAGAGTGATTGACTTATGAAATGAATTATCATCAGCAGTAGTGGAGGCCAACACTGTACAAGAGTTTAAGAGGAAAATCTATAATTTCCTGAAAGGTAAAGGGTGAATTTAAATTTTTACTTTTTCCAAGGGTAAATGTGCAGGGTCAGCATTAAAGGAACAAGCTGTCCCTTATTGTCCACAGGTTATGTTAAATGAGCTATTTCCCTTGAACCATGCTGAATAAACACTGACATTTAGAATATTTTAAATAATCCATAAGAGAGGAAGGATCTAATGGTTCACAGGTATAATCTTAGTAGCACTGACAAATCTGCACAGAAAATGGAGCCTTACATTGTTCAGATATTAGTTGTACAGATGAGCAAACAGGAACTGAAATGGTACCTTTCACTACATGGGAAGTGAAATGGCCAGAAAGAGCTTCCAGTGCTTAGCTTTGGAGGATGGATCAGATTTTCCTCAGTTGCTGACTAGTTTGATATCAGCATCTAGATCTTGTCTGATAGATGGAATATTCCCAATGTGTTTGGGTACTGTGGCCACAAACGTTATCTGTTACGAGTTTTAATAATTTTTTAGTCTTTTTGTAATGTTTTTATTTTTATGTATAGTCATGTAAGAGGGGTTAGGAATGTTCTTGGTTTTATTTGTTTTGAATTTCGTGCAAAGCTACATGAGAGCTATCTGCGCTAGCCATCACCACCCACCGTCAACTCTTGGGCTACTCTTTTACCAACAAATAATGGGATTGACCATCACATTATAATGTCCTCACAGCTGAAAGGGCGAGCATGTTTGATGGGATGGGGATCGAACCCACGACCCTGAGGTTTCGAGTCGAGTGCCCTAACCACCTGGTTTTTGGTTTTATAACAAGCCAAGGAAATCTGAGCTGTTGATAGAATAATTACTGGATTTCCAAAACACAAATTAAAATGTACAACTCTGAGTTAACGGCTGACCAAATCACAGCAATAAAATAATGAAAACAACCTTGACTTGATTAACAATCAGTCTACAGCAACTTGAATAATGCTGAGATAATTAAAGACTGACCAAACCATAACAAAATAAACTTAATTTGATTTAACCACTGACCAGAGCATAATGAAAAAATAACCTGAACTGCTCTGATTCAAATTAACAGTCAGTGAAAACAGATTAGAAAAAGCTTGATAACAATAACTAATTAATGGATGATTGAAATACATCATTAAAAAAAGGATAAATTTAATTATGTAAATGTTTTGTATACATTATTTAAAGTAACAAACAAATACCATGTAATTCCTTGATATTTGAAACTTAAGAGTTAAAACAAAAGAAAAACAGATTATTCTATAAAGAGTGTAACAGTCTATTAAACATTCTTACTTATGAAGCTCTTGGATTTTCATATTTATTGATGTACTCCCGAGTTTCAACAATTCCAGGGATCGGTACTGTAGTTCTTGCTTCTTTCCTGACTTGTTCCTCCCAGCAAATCCCAGTAACACCTGTAGCTCAGACACCCTAAAGTTCAGGATCATTTGCTATAAACAACACAAACAACAGTCAATAACATGTAAAAAACTATGTTTACATCTGTCATATTGGAAACAGAATGTCTCAAGTAGTGCAACAAAATGAAGCACATTAACGCGCGTTCAAGTAAACGCAAAACACCGATTGTATAAATGAAGTTCATTATAATGTACGAAAGTGATTGTACATGTGAATGTTCATCATAACCTACAACAGTGACTGTGAATGTTCATGTTAATATACAGTAATGATTACAGTTGTGAATTCATTAATACTGTTACACTGATATCTAAGTTTACATAAGTTATTTTATCCATTAACACATGTTCTTCAGTAGGGATGAATGACTAGTGGAATTGAATTACTGAGTAATTATCAGGATCACCTTTAACTAGTCAGTTATTCTCACATGAGACTGCAATAGTTAGAATAATCCAAAGCAATCAGAAACACTAACTTCAATTAGTTGATTATTTTTGTGAGTTGTTACACTAATTGATTAATTTTTAATAACCTTGAATTAACCAAGATAATAGGAAATCATAATAGCAATATCTGGATTACTTGGATAGTTGAAGTAATCAAAAGCTGTAATAATCAGAAACACTAAATTTTGATTAATTGGTTATTTTTACATTAATCAATAATAATACTTAATAATAATACAATTCTTCAATAATAGACATAAAACCCAAAGTACCTTTTAACTAAGTAAAAGAATATTCTAATTTCAAATATTTTGGGGAGACAATGGTAATGGGCCTAAAGAAGCATCTGTGGTATTGAAATACTGTGTATTAAAATATCAGTTGACAAACAAATGAAACCATATGACAGGATAACTGAAGACTTTCACAGAGCACTTCATATTTCTCTAAAACAAGAGGCTGAAAAATGAAATTCTACAACAGTGGAAATGCAAGTCAGGCAGAAGGCCAGATTCACTCATTTGTATAAGCACTTTCCGATGCTGGTTTGAGTTTGCCTATAGCTGATGGACCTTTATGAAAGTTTGTGAAGAAATGTTATCCAGCAACTAAAACAATACCAAAGTAAAACACTTCACAAGAAAAGTACTTGCCCAAAGTCTTTTATAAAATTGAAACAGAAATTAAATACCAATTAAATGATAAAGTATGTCTGGATGTTGATAAATCCTCAGATGTAATTGGAAAGCCCATAGTTAATACATTAGTAGATGTTTCTCATGTTGCTATTTCAAAGTGTCGGTATTACTTTGGTGCTTGCAAAATCATTTGACGTTACTGTCATTGTATCCAATTCTGCAAAAGTATGTGCAAAAGATGATGAATGACATGCATGTTGGAAGGTATTTGTAAATTCTTGCATGTCATGTATATGGCACATTTAATTCCTGTTTCTGTTGACATTTTCCTTGCTAACTGTGCAATGTCATATGCTAGAAAAGTGGTGTCTTGTGTAAATATACCTATAAATTTTAACAACTGTACAATTAATTGTTAAACTTCAAATTGAAAATGTAATGAAACCTCCTGCTCTTGCTCTTATCAAATGGTTCAATTTCTTTCAGTGTGTGTGTGTGTGTGTGTGTGTGTGTGTTGTTATACACATGAAGGCTGGCCTAATGGCTGTCTTACAGAGAGGATGCCCTTAATAGAACAATGTCTGACTTTAAAGAAATCATTCCCACTCAACAACAGCAACAAAGTTTATGCCATGCTTGTGTTTCTAGATGAAAAGTTTGAATCAGTTTTAACTGTGCAAAAAGAGCTGGAGAAAAAGATGGTTCTATGCTACACAAAATATACAACATTAAGGAAGTCAAGCTTTCCTGCTTAGAATAGAGCACAGAGGTTGTACCAACAGAAAAGCGTAATTTTAAGAATGCTGTTATCTAAAGATGCTGCTTATGTAAAGCAATACATTAATGAATTCTGTGTAGCCCTGAGCATAAAATGGTAAAGACCAACTGAAAGGAATGTATCCACCACTGTAGAGAAGCTATAGATGCAAGCAAGAGTGCTGGATGCTTTTCTAAGTCAGCTCAGAATTGAGTTTGACAACTACAAATAAATTTACCTTATGGAGGAAACTCTGCACTCAAAATTCAATTAATATATAACAGAACACTCTAAGACAATCCAAAACTTGCTGCAGGGAGGTTCCTGAAGGATGTCGCAGCCACATACCCACCTCTGTAAACAGCAACGTTAATTTCAGGTGGAAGTGCAGTAGTAAAGCATTTTTTCAGTAAATTTCTCTACATTCAAAGACCAGACAGCAGTTAAATGTCCGAAAATACACTTAAACAACAAATGTTGATAGATGTTATTGTTCATCTGTAGCCATATTAGTGGAGTAAATTTTTTTTATGCTTATTAGTTTATTAACCAACAAAAGGACAACATAAACTGATGGCAATACCACAATTTTTATTCTCTGATTAGTTGTACATCTTTTTTTTTCAGACTGAAATTGGTATTTAAGCATGAGAATGTTTTTCTTTTTTTTTTAAACAATCCAAACTGATGGCCAAAAAGGCCAGTATACTTTTTGTAACCTACTTGTACCTTTTTTCTTTTTTTGTGATTGAGTGCCCATCTGAAAATACATGGTTAGTGTTTATGAATACCTTACTATTTAAATAAAGACATTGTAAGCTGTTGGCAAAACTGGACCAGAGGACTTTTTTGTACCCAACTTGTAAAATTCTTCAGACTGAGGGAGTAGCCAGCTGTACCTTATTTGTGTTTAAACATTTCTGACTTTTCTTTTCTGAATAAAATCCTATTTCAACCTGAATATTTATTTTCTTGATTATACGTAAAAAATGTAATTCAATTATAAACCATTTTTTGAATAAAACATTCTATCTACTTTTCAAAAATGAGTGACTTGAATTTAGAAAAAAAAAAAATCACCTGAAAGTCAGAATCCTTAGTTTAATTAAGTAGTTATAACATGGTAAAATTTATACAAGTTGTAATGTTACTATTACTAACTTACTCAGTTACACATTGTCAGTGTCTACTAAGTTACTCATTCAACATTTCAAGTCATTGTCAGTGTCACCAAACGACTAACTCAGTAACTGCGACTTGCAAGTTGTACTGAGCTTGATTAAATTTCGTGCAACTGTAACTGTATTACGAACATGCTAATGTAATTACATTAAACGGTTGTTTAATTTGAATTTTAAGAGCTTAACTAACTTTTAAAAATATAATGTTAAGTATTAAATTCATAAATTATGATATATTAACTTATAATATTACTAATTATTAAATTATTTAATATTATTAATAATAAATTATAAAGTAAAATAATGCAATTACTGTATTAGCTAATAAAATAAGTGTATTACTTTCCTTCAATCTAAATAAACCTTAAAAATTATAAAATAACAACACACATATGTTATTTTTTGAACTAACAGTGTTTCATTGTCAATTAACCCATTTATTAAGTCCTTACTTACTCTTAACTCCGAATCCGACATTTTTTCGACATAATTTTATACTCTCGAGAACCGAGTTTTTATATACAATAAAACGACAGAGGCCGCTTTAAATTACTGAGGAATGGATATTTTAATGTTATTTATATTTTGTGATTTATTATTAAGATTATTTCACAGAACAAGACAAAATATAAAAGAAATAATTAAAGTCAAATAAAATTTACAAGAATACTGTAATAAAGACAAAAACATGATAATGAACACAATTCACAATTCACAATTTTCATTACTTAGTGCTACAGGGCTTGATATTCAAAGGAAGAAGTTAAGACAAAACTTGAAAGTGGTGTGTTGTGTAACAATATATTTAATTAAATAACAAATAGTGATTCTAAAACTGCGCCCTTCTGACAAAAAAAAAAAAAAAAAAAACAAGTGTCAGAGATGTATTGTTACGTCTCCGGTCGTTTGTTAATTTCCAGTAAAGATTCTATCCGAAGAACTTCAGCGATACAAGTCATTTCTTAAATAAAACTAGTTTATTCTTTCTCAAAACAACTTTGCAATACACAAAATTTCCACAGTCACTTTAACTTGAACACATGCTATAATTCACAACGATTCACGTACTTTACTTACGGTCACTACTGCTCACTTGACTCGATTATCTGTCTCTATATCTCTCTTCAATCTGCAATTATCTATGCCGTCACTTCTAGTCTCCGCTTTATTTGCCGGGCTTATATTTACAAAAATAGAGGTCGTCTGGCAAATACTCGAGCCTTCATGATCCTTCTAGAAACTCATGACGTGTTACCAGCGTCACGTGGCTTCTGCTGTCGTAACACTGCCCCTTCCTTAGTATTGTTCTTCACGAACAATAGC